CACCTTGCGTACACCTTCATACTGTCATTGGGAAAATCCACCATAATTTATTTTCTCTCATCATTTTATGTGTTCAACATTTCTACAGAGCAAATATGCACAGAAAATTAAGTTGTACTGTCAGTTAATTGAAAGGTTACCACCTGAGAGCATTTATGTTGCTGATGCGTTTTCACTTTTGCGATTGCGCTGTCTGATTTGTGATACAATTGTCGTTATATATGTATGTTTATCATTTTGGCATCCCTGTATCATGGAGTATACTATCATGTGTACTAACTGATCTATCAAGTACCAAAACCAAAATTTGTATACAGTATTGTTATTGGATGGAGCTGTTAAATGCACATTCATACAGAATTTCCAGGAAAGAGAACTCAAAGTGAAAATTTCGAAATGAAAAACCAAATTGGTCAAAGGTTACAAACAAGTATTATTTTAAGGATGGATATGCCTGTTTTGAATGGGCAGTGTGTACATCATTTCACTAACATAAACTGAAGGGTATATGTTGACAAAACTGAGTTCAATCTCGAATGTATAATAAATGACACCAATGTATATTTCTTTCACAGTATCAAGAATCGATGGGGTACGCTCGTGGTTAAAGCGTCCGCCATATCGAAGGCCGGATTTCCATTACCGACAAGGGCATAGTCAGAATAACACTTGCAGTTAGTCTCTGACATATATAATTTTGATAAAATGCAAAGAAACTTAATTTAGATTGATGATTTAGATTCAATGATTTTGAAGATTCGGAGACTAACAACATCTACACTGGGCTACAGGTGCTGGGCCCCGTTCCTCAAAGCGATCGTAGCGCTACGACTGTTGTAAGTCTATGTTAAAGTATGGGAGTTACGATCATCTTAACGCTACGATCGCTTTGAGGAACGGGGCCCTGGAGTCATCCTCAATTAAACATCGCATTCCACAAAATCAGATAAAGGTTAAATTGACATGCATATTTATTGGTATCTTGCCCGTTAAGGCTCTGTCCCTTCTCTCCATGCAGTCTGACCAGAGTGCTGTGATCACTTCATCTGGTGGCTAAATTCAACCTTCTCATATCCTTTACAGTATTTTCTTACAGACATATATAGAAATTTGATCTTTGCGGGTGTGGACAGTGTAGGGAAAAGAACACGAGCAAAGTTTCCGAGTCATCTGAGATTGTTCTTTAAAAGCATCAGATACATATAGTCGAAAGTCATGCACCTTACATTTAACAATCACCTGTCACTTAGTGCAACCAAAGCATTACAAAAAGGCCATGATTCCAGACAGCACCACATCACTTTTGGCTTGAGTTCCAAATATTTGACACCGAAATCCTGTGTCAGTTCACTCGCAGGAAACAAATCCTTGTTTTAGAATGACGTCTTAGTTATAGTCACAATGAAGCATAGGTTGCCATTTGTTTTCGAATAGGTTAGGCCCCAGTCAGAATATAATTTAGTCACTGAAATATTTATATTTGCCAAATACAATTCTTAAGGAACGTTTCTCCAAGCAGTGACTTTAAGCCCTATATAGCTAGACTTGCTTAGATTATAGACATGCATCATAGATAGTTCACTCACACGGTGCAGGACTCCAAGCCCATCTTATTGCCTCACTATTTGCCAATTAAGAGTCGGCAGATGTAAATGTTGGTCCCGCCAGATTTGAGAGTGTGGTATGTTTACCCTGTAACCCGAACCCTGCATTGAGTTTTCCTGCAGATGATAACAGAAGCTGAACTTGTGAAAATCTAGACATGCATAACTTAGGGCTTGGCGGAAGGGAAAATAACATCGTTCTGAGACTGTCACAATCTAGGAGTGAGTGAGTGAGTTTAGTTTTACGCCGCACACAGCAATATTCCAGCTATATGGCGGCGGTCTGTAATTTTAATTGAATTTTAGTCACTTACAAGACCAAACACCCAGGGTAGTGCTTGGCCTAGATTAGATGGTAAAAGGTAGGCAACTTGAGTGAGTGAGTTTAGTTTTTAGCAATATTCCAGCTATATGTCGGCGGTCTGTAAATATTCGAGTCTGGACCAGACAATCCAGTGATCAACAGCATGAGTATCGATCTGCGCAATTGGGATGACATGTGTCAATCAAGTCAGCGAGCCTGACCACCTGATCCCGTTAGTCGCCTCTTACGACAAGCATGGGTTACTGAAGATCAATATTCTGACCCGGACCTTCACAGGCAGACACAGACAAGGACAAAGTATGGAAGACATGACATTTGGACAACAGACCAGTATTAAACTCTCTTATGAAGATAATTCAAATAGCTCGAACAAGATTTCGATATTCTTTGAATGCACATTTGGCTGGACCGCCTCCGTGGTGATAAGAGCGTCCGCCCGGAGCGCGGAAGGTCGCGGGTTCGATCCCTGACCGCGTCATAACAAAAGACTTTAAAATATGGTACTTGTTGGTCCCTGCCTGGCGCTCGGCATTAATGGGTACAACAAGGACTGGTCGGCTCGGAGTCAGTATAATGTGTCTGAGTGGGGTATTCATGCTTCACTGCGGCATGTTATCTCAGTGGGCTAGCACAAAAAAACCAGCTTCAGTCTGGGCTAGTACAAGCAGCCGCACATACACATACACACGCATGCACGTCGTCATATGAGCGAAATATTCTCAAGCAGGACGTTAAACCCAATTTCATCCCACCCACCTCACATTTGGCTGAACCTGGACAAAGTACATTTACTCAGAGACAAAAACGATTTTTTGCCTGTACAAAAGGACAACCACAGATTTCTCATGAAAACGTATGGTTATGTAGGAGGCTTGAAACTTGTTTTAACAAAGGCAGATACGTTCGACCACGATACTACGATTTTCGTTTTACAGCTTCTTGATAACGAATCGTATGCCAAATTATCGTTTACAACACTAAGATGTTTCACCTTTGTTTATGAAAGAGATAAAGAAAGTAATAAATATACGACGCTAGGTATGACATTTCTACTACAGATGATACTTAAGTCTAAATAATGTGCTTTAACTCTAGCACCAATCACTGGGTATACAAACAACAATGAATGTGTGATAGAGGAGAACTTGCGTCGCTACCTGTCTCAATGATCTCAATGTATGTATGTAAATTGAAACCGGCAGATACCTATAGAAGAGAGTGTTTGCGCTACCTATATAACAATGACGTCGCGTGTCTATAACAATGATATGATAAGGGGATGAATGACATACTTTGATCTTGGCCCGTTAATGATGACATATATTGTGATAATCTCTCTGATCATCTTAACTGGTTATGAGACAGACGGTAATTTTTAATGATGACTGGTATTTCTATTACTGTATTTTTACAGTAACATTCTTCGAACTTTCTCCATATACGACCGTTGTTGGATAGTTCTCATGATTTTGACAGTTTGTGAAGAGACTTGTTCATTAGTGTAGTGGTATGCTATGAATATGGAAAAGGTTATCTCCCTTGAACATCCATGTGCTTTTGAAAAATCACGAAGAAAAACATCTGGCTGATGAGTTCGAAACACACCGTGACTGTGAGTGTAACTGTAACTGCAAAAAGAGAGAGAGAGAGAGAGAGAGAGAGAGAGAGAGAGAGAGAGAGAGAGAGAGAGAGAGAGAGAGAGAGAGAGAGAGAGAGAGAGAGAGAGAGAGAGAGAGAGAGAGAGAGAGAGAGAGAGAGAGAGAGAGAGAGAGAGAGAGAGAGAGAGAGAGAGATACCCTTTTCTCTTTTGATCGATTCAAATGGCTGTGGAAAGTTCGAAGAAGCCTGGTCGATATATAGAGGTATTTGTTTATATCATTATTATGTACAACTTATGATATGTTATGCATTTGACCGGTTACATGAAAATGTTACACTAATATGTCATTTTTGAAAAATCTTTTTGGGCGTTGTATAAAATGAGACAAATATTGTTAATTTTCTAATTGTTCCTTGTTTATGGCAGTGAAAAGGTTGGTTCATTGTGTGTATATTCGGGTTTCTACAGTAATAGTTACTGATATATACTAGGCACATAAAGAAACTGTGCATACAAAAATTTAAAATCCAAATTTATCAAACCTGTGTAGACACATAAGGATTTAAACTCACAACGCACAACGTCATGAGGCCATTGGGGTGGTCCGTGGGGGATGTCTTAACGACAAGTGGCTGCACATTTCCACTGCCACCGGAACACCACTGCTGCACTGGTGAGACGCTACCAGAACACAAATGACGTCATCGATCGGCCACGTTCTGCACGTCCACGTCTAACAACGCCAAGACAGGACATATGGATAAGGGTGACCCATCTTTGCCACAGGTTTCAGACTGCAGTGATGACTGCCCGAAACATCCCAGGACTTCGCCGTATCCACCCCAACACAGTTCGACAACGTTTACGTCATCACGGGATCAGACCACGACGTCCCGCCATACGGCCTATCCTGACACAACGTCATCGACAAGCTCGCTCAAACTCCCACCACAATATCGGTTGTGGGTGGTTCTTCAAGTGGAAAAACATTTTGGGTTGCACGACTCTTAAAACAAGCTGGTAGCATGTTCGATCCACCACCCAACCTGATTGTGTATTGCTATGCTGTGTGGCAGGATGTCTACAGCGAACTTGAGAGGGTGATTCCCAACATTCGATTTAAAGATGCACTACCTACGGAAGAGGAGTTAAAATCATATTCCTCAGAATCTGATAAACGGTGTGTACTGGTAGTAGATGACTTCATGCAGCACATTTGTAAGAACCCTCTGTTTTACCACACTATCTCATCATCTGGGGATCACAGTCATTAACATACAACAGTCAGCCTTTCCTAAAGGCGAATGTAACAGAACCATGTCTTTAAACACCCATTACTTTGTTCTGTTATCTAACCCACGTTCAGCGCATGAATATAAAATTTTGGCATCGCAAATATTTCCAGGACAGAGCAAATATTTTACGGAATCCTTCCAAGATGCAGTGGGGAGAAATAAATATTGGTATCTTGTTTTGGATGCTTCACCCTATGCTGATGAACCCTATGGACGTTTACGCACAAACATATTTCCTGATGAAGCATGTACAGTCTACTTACCGCAGTCATAGAATTATGCCCAAGATGATATATATCCGTCTCTCTATGAGTGTTTTCATCATTTCACTTTCATCACTTGAACTGAACAGAACCATGGATGAGTGTGGATCCTTTAATGATGTGTTCCCAGATTGTGTTGAAATAGAGACTCACACTGAGAGCTATTGACAAAAGTTTAGTGAGTGATTAGTCATTCAGCAAATGGCCTGTTCAAATGGAGCAGTCGCCAAAAGCCAAGGCTGAAGCAGGATTTATTTACACAGGATAATATGATAAAGTCTACTGCTTCAAATGCAAGCTTCGCCTACATCAATGGTTACCTGATGATGATCCAACGACCGAACACTTCAGACTGTCTCCTCACTGTAGCTATATGCACATGGTGTCTGAACCCAAGAAAGGTTAGAAAGTAATAAATCCTGTTGACTATCCTATACTTGTACATTCGAAAGTGGGACATCGAACATTAAACATCACATCACATCACATCTCATCATGAGTGAACTACTAGAAAAACATTTGAATTTTCTTCTGATGTTGGAGCAAGCCGGTGTTGGACAAAGAAAGGCTTTGTTAATACATGCATCACATGGACAGTTTATGTCGGTGATTACTCTTATATTTAACATTCTGAGAGGAATCATACCTCTACCAGACAGTGCTAAAATACGACTGACACGCTACAAGAAGTGCATTCGATCTTTAGCCAGCAAGACAGTTAGCAACCACGAGAAACGTGAGCTGATTCTGATGCATCATTCGGTTCTACCCATTTGCATAAGATCCTATCAAGCATACCTCTCATCGATTCACTATGAGCAAGCCTATGGTTCTTCTGACAAGAGAGACCTACCAGAGGTTGATGAACAATCAAGAAGAACAGATTCCTCCTCAGACAGTGAATCAGACACCGATTCAGGATCATCTGACAACGAAACAAGATCTGAAGATTATGAATCATAATAATGGATCTAGTAACAGCGGTGATGAAGAAGCACATGCATCTGTTGTGAAGGATAACATAGACATCATGCTTCGTGTACCTGAACAGATCATTAGAGGTATTTCGTCTACAAAAACCATCGGCAAGTTAATGACTTTGTGGATATTTGTGAAAGAAAACATTCTAAACAGACAAATAGGACTGACAGAAGATTTACAACTTGTGTTACCTAATGGTGAGGTGTTGCATGGTTCGAACATAGTAGACTTGATCCGTTTTGTTATCATGAAAGCAGGTGTTAAAAGTCGCCGTCCAGTAGGATATAGAGACTTTTATAAACTTTTAAGACATTCGCATGTTCCTAAACATCTCATGAAAAGCAGACAAAAGAAAGACAAAAAGAAGAAAACTGTAAATACTTTATATTTAAAACGCAAAGCATCTGACGGTGTGCCAGGTACAGCAAAAGTAAGGGCAATCGAGCCTTTTTAATGTACATCCATCATTCTATACATATTATGTACAAGGAAATAAAAATGGATTACTGAATGACTAGTTTGTCTTGTTTATGGTAAACTCATGTTGAGTTTGGTTAGCATCTCCAGTCTCTCTTTTCCTATGTTGGAAAGCAAACCAGAATTCAAATAATCAATGTTTTCATAACAGACGGTATGTCTGTCATGGAAGTCTAGTCTGAGTTGTGTACGTTGTTGTCGTGCTCTTTCTAAAATGTTCTGATGAGGTATTCCACTCAGAGCATCCTCAAAATAGAGGTCCACCTTTTCAGCACTATCCATCATCACACACTGGTGGTGAATTTGTGAGGGATGATCAATTTCACATCCATAACAATTGTCTTGACACAGTTTTGTGACACTTCTCTGGAGTTCATTCAGGTAGAGAGTTTCCAGAATAGTCTCAAACTTCCGACGATTTTGTCTCAAGTCACGTGCACGCTCAAGAGACTGTCTTGTGGTGGAAATTTCATGCACTTCCACAGGATATACAGTGTTTGCAGTGATAACACCTCGCTCCATTAATCGTTGTAGAACCCTCTGTGCTGCTTGATAAGCTGCCATACGTGTTCTTCTTAAGGTTTGACCTTCACGCAGCGTTTCACCATTGACATCGATCAACCTGTATACATATCTCTTCATATCCATTTTGATGCTGAAAATGAACAAATGAATAAATGAATAATTAAATAAATAGACAGATAAATGAACAAATAAATATATGGTGAATGAGTAAATGAAGTACATACCTGCTGACTACTGTTTTCCTGTGAAGATGTCTTCACATACATAGGGAGTATATACAAAGTTTTAGTTCGGTGAATATCCATATGGGACACTGTGAATAGCATCGTCCAACAGATACCGCTTGTTGTCAACTGGTGTCAATGCCACTTTGCTTTGCCTCTCTGTGTACAAAGTGTTATTGTGTGATCGAATCAAGTGAAAGGAACAACTGAACCTCTTCTGATCAAATAATGATTGTTTATACATATCATGTCTGAGAAATTTCTTGATGACAGATTTCTTAATGCCTTTGCCTGTCTTTTTTGCGATGACGATTTTTGATTTTTGCATCAGGAAAGAGTACATTTTGCTTTTTTACCCTACAAACTCTAATATGATGCTCCCACCTGCTTCATCCTTCATTTTACCAGTCACCTAGCGATGTTTATCCGAATATAACCCTTTGAGGTCATCAGGTGCATAGTTTGAAGTGTCAAACAAATGCGAATTGAGTTTCATGAACACATAAGGATCCAAAAGGAGCTCATGTGGAGGTGCATGTACATGCATGAACAAACTGTCCGTGTCCGTCATCAAAAGGTCAAGTCTTTCTGGTCCATACTGTCTTTGCATGACATCATAAAAGAAGGAGTAAATTTCATATTTGGCTAAATCCAAGATGGTGAAACCAACTGCAATGGGCTGGTCTAAATGTACGGATAATTTCTCCAACTCTACCACAGTCACGTCTTCTGAAAATATTTTGACCTGCTTGAAGTTACTTTTAGCTACACATTTTCGAAGTTTGGACCTCTGTGTCACCAACTGAACTGTTTTATGTTTTCGTTTATTCATGCAGAACCGTCCAAACACACATTTGTTAATGAGTTTATACCGATCTTTATCACATTCATCCTTGGCATTTTTTGCGGTTAGCCAAATTAAGATCAATGTAAGGTTTCAGCCATGCTCCTTGTCTAAATTTGAGCACTCTGTGTATTTTTGTACATATCAATCCATGTCTCAGATACAGCTGCAACGTTTTGAAGTGAACCACGTAGTGGGAACGATCTTTCAGAGTAGTGAAAAGTTTTTTACCGGACGATTTCTTGGCGATGATTTTTGGTGAGTTAAAATGTGTTAACAGTTCCTGGTGAGCAGGTGAAAACTCATCGTAGGGAATATCATCATGTGTAGGAGCCATTGGAAAAGCGGCATGAGCTTTGTGTAACTGTTTGGGATACAACAAATCCACTTCAAGGATGTAGCCTGTATCTCCTTGTGTATCTACAGTTGACCAGTCAATGCTGACATACTCCTCAGAACTGATGAACTGATAGTTTCCAATGGGGAGGGGTTGTAACATGACAGTTGCATAGAGGGAGTTAACATCAAAGTAGAGAAGAAAGGAGGTGTCTATCATAGGAACAAAATCTGATAGGTGATGATTGTTAGCAACTGCATATTTCTTGCTAATCATAGACACACCACCACGAATGGAATTTTCAATAAAATTGTAAGTGTCAACATCAGTGAACAGATCAAGTTTGGCATCTGTGATTTTCATGGCAGCATCCAGACAGAACCCAGGCATGGAGTAATAATGACAAATGTCAAGACCATAGTCTGTCAAACACCCTGTTCTGAAAGTCTCTATGATGTCTGTTAATAGCAGCACATCAACACTCACATACAACCGAACAAAGTCTCTCATGGATTCACAGTCAAACTCCTTCCATAATTCATGAGCAAAGGTATAGTTTTCCTGATCAATATTTTCATCAGACAAAGAACTGAAGAAGGATTCTTGGGGAGGTAAACAAACCTCATTCAATTTTTCCCAGTCATCCATGTATTCATAAGGAAAGGGAAGTTTCCTTGTTAACATGTTTGCATGATGAGGAAAGTGTTCTTTCAAATAGGCAAATGAATCTACACCTTTGTTCAATTGGTTTTGAGTCAGTGCATCTAATGAACTTTGCAGAAATTTGTAACTATCCAAAAAAGACCAAATTGTTATCTACTGTAAAAGACAGAAACTGTTCTGAATTGTGAGGGATGACTGTAATGTCTCTGTCGTCAAAGTGTTGTGCTACTTCCAGTATTAAGTGAGAATCATAACGTTCAGAGTTATGAAGCATGACAACCACTTTCTTGCGTAACTGAAAATTCAGGTTACATCTATTATGCAAGACTTGTCGAAAACGTCCTGTCAGGTGGTCATGGTCTAACACTCGGTCAGTACTCAAAAGTTCTCCACACAAGCCACAATGAGTAGCATTGGCGATGGTTATCTTATCTTGTTCACACAGTTCCATTGGTTTGATAGAATCCAACAAAGTCTGGATGTTATCATATTCCCTTAAAATACTTTCAATAAAATGTTCAGCCGCCTGTTCTCCTACATAGGTTTGTACAGGTTTAGAGTACTGCTCCTCCGTGCACACCACTTTGTAGGCATAAGCACAAGGTACATGCTTATTTAGTCGTGAACTACCTGGGTTGCTTTCTGGAATGAGCAAGGACTCAAAATCAGCTATGATAACAAACTTGGCTCTTTCTGTTTTGCTTTGGGAACGTAAACCAAACTGATACACAGCATCCTTCGGGTTAGGCATAATGACTCTTTGTGCCTTGTCATAACAGTAGTCTTTATGCTTATCCAAGCATTGTTGTGATGTATAACACCAAAGACATTTGCGACAGATGAACTGAGTGCGGTTATTACATTGCTTGTTTCTGACTAACCCACTTAAACTGGTAATGAGACAGTAATGTGTATTTGGTTTAACGTCTACGTCCATGGGTTCATATTCTTCTAACCCTAAGATTCCTTCAAAATCATCTGATTCACTTTCTTGTGAAAGCAACAACAAATCAATCTTTCTGTTTTACAACTTTGACATGGCGTTTTAAATTGTCTTTCCGATTAAAGGTTCGATGGCAATGGTTGCAGGTAAACAATGTGTTCACTTGTCCACAATGTCTCTGATGTCTTAACAAATGACATTTTTGTTTGAAACAATGACCGCAAATTTCACATTGGAAGACAGGGCATGTAGTTTGCTCAGACATTTTGTTACCCGTAGTTATTCACCTACTAAAAATTTGAATACGATCCACTATTGCATGTTTTTTCTTGAAAACTTCTACTTTGTCTATCTGAAATAATAAAAGTTATGATAGAACGTTTCTAACAATGATATGGTTTAAAATGATAGAAGAAAAAACCAAAGATAAAATATTCTGATTGTTACTTACTTGTCTGTTGCTTGCACGTCCGCTGTTAGAAAAAAACAAAACGTCCTAACACTCTTAAGACAAGAATGCTTTCCGAGACTGACTCAACTCTTCTGATGGTCTGTTAAAGTGTGTTTCCAGTTGTACATAACCCTATCATTTTATTCCTCAAAAAAGAGTGCTGCATCACGGTCACTCGCTTCTTTTCTGTAAGTCGGTGTGGGTAGCTCGGTACATGTAGGCGTATTGATAAAACGTGTTTTGGAATGAAAATGTGTGTCTAGGTTCACGTTTGAAAAGTGACGTGTCAACCTTAGTCACTACTTCTTTTTCTGCAAGTCAGTGAGGTAGGTTGGTAATAGTGGCTAGCTGTGCTTGGACATGACCAGGTACTGCACATTTTGTGCTAAATCATGATGTGTTATAAATACAGCTTTCACCAGAGAACAGTTACGAAGTCTGCTCACTTCTGTCATTGCAGTTCATTCGACTTACCAAGCTGAAATCATGTCTGATTCAGTTAATGTTCAGTTTGCAGACAAACATTTTTTGTCTATCAATTTGTTTAATGAAACTGTGTACATTCACCTTACGAACTGGAATGCTAGACACCAGAGAAAGAGCATATCTATGACATTAGATGTCTTCAATCAACTTTTGACTGATGCACCTCAGTACGTGCAACAGGCGGAAAATATTGCGCTAACGATGGATGAACTACCAGACATCCCTCCCATCCCGGAAATTGATACACCTGGCGAGATTCAACATGCATCAACACCGCTACTGATGTCACCTCCTCCCACACCAACAACAACACCGGATATAGGAATGACCAGCATCCCCACTACACCAATGAAACAAACTGGGAGAGTTACTCCAATGTTTGGGAAAGCAACCACCATCAGAAGCATGCCATATGTTCGTGGTACGTGATGCATCAGTTTGATAATGTACAAATACTAAAATGCTGAAAATTATTCTTTACCGGCAAGCTGTCAAGGAAGTGAGGTAAAATATTGTATGCGTAAGCCATCAAATCAATGAAGTGATACATAACTGTACCGCAAGCTACCAACAGAGTGAAGTGTCCTAAAATATTTTATATCGTAAGCTAACAACTGAGTTAGGACAACACCAGAAAAATGTTTTTTGGAAAATTTTGGAAAGAATTTTTTTAAATTTATACCAATAGTGACAACCTCACTTACTCTTGCCCGTTTCAAATATTTTCCTAAATAATTATAAACGATTTCGGCAGAAAATTTATTTAAGATAATAGTTTCAAATGGTGATGTTTTTTCCGAAATTTTCAAACTCCACTCACCATCCGAATGATCAATTATATCAATACTATTCATTGCTGGTGTGTACCCTGTCGTAAGTGTGTAAGTCTGATATATACTACTCACACTTTGCTAAGGATCACAAAAATTCACAACTTTACTTAAACGTAGATTTATAATTTGAAATTGTATCCATTTAAAACTGGATAAATAATGATATGGTAACACATCTTTAGGAAAACAGCCACTTAAGATGTAACAAACCACCCTGAGAGTTGTGAGAAACTATTTAACTGTAAAATATTAACATATCATCATTGAAACTATCATAATTGAAACTAACTTCATGGAAAGCACCATTGCAACTATCACGACAGTATATAACACGTAGACTTGAGGATTAAGGATAAAACCAAATAAAATATCACACAACATAAAAACGATTTGGACGCTATATAAAACATTTACCTTTAACATACATACATAAAACCTATACGTAAATATGATACAATTTCTGTTTTCGGATAGATATGACCTGTGAAGGTCCGGGTTAGAATTGATCTTCAGTAACCCATGCATGTCGTAAGAGGCGACTAACG